GGCCAGGGTATGCCTTCTTTCACCATGTTCGCTTGAGCGTGGGCCGAGAATAGTAGCTGAAAAGCGGGCTGAGGATCTCAATTTTTACGGCGGCTCTTACTGTCTTCCGTCGCAAAGGGGTTAAAAGCACTAAACTCACATATTGCTAGGATGTTGTGATGAGGTTTCTCGGACACCTCTTGATTAAAAGTTCTGGTTGCAATGAGGGAGTCAGGAGTACCCGCCGACCAGACTTGTTCAATACTTTCATCATGGCAAGCAAGTTATTTAGATCTCTACAAGTGTATGAAATAAGGCCTCCTCACCTCCTCTCAGACCTCCTCACGGTGACGTTACCAGAGTTATCTATGGCATCTGGCTTATCGAAATAGACAACAGCCTGTTTCATTTTTGGGGATGCAATTTCGGAGATGTATATGGGGCAGGGCTTGGTGAATGCAGGTGACTGGTAATCTGGCAAGGATATGAGACCAAAAGAGCAAAAATGAAATGAGTCCTGACAAGGGAACATGAGGTTGTGAGTTGTTCTGAATCTGTGTGACTGTGTGTGGGGAATGCATGGTTCAGTGATCTGTGGCCAGTTATCTAAATGGTCAGTAAGAAAGTGGTGCCAAAATGCTGGTAAATAGAACAACAATAATTGCCCATTACAACAAAAAACCCAAGTTCTTTATCTGTACAGTGTGCAATTCACAGCAGAATGTTGAAAGGCTGGATTGGCCACGGTGACTCAAGTTTTTCTTAAGATTGAGTGCATGGGGGTAAGATTGGCAGAGGGCACTTTACAATTATTCAATCTCTGTGACCTGGCTGAATTTTCTGACAGAATCTGCTGGCATTTCTGTGTACAGTAAATTGTAATCTTTTCGTCTGTTATCCACTTCTCTACTTTTCCTTCAATGGAAGATTAGTAGGGCCAAGTTTTTCTGAACCCATCAAGAAATTCATCGAGATTTCCGGACAAAGTGCTAGTATCTGTTGTAATTGTTGCCATAAACCTCTTCCCTTTTCTTACCAATAATTTGTGGTGCATTATAAGGTCTTGCTTGGGGAGACCTCTGTGCTAAAAAGAACATGGGTTGGTTGGTTGGTTGGTTGTTGAGCTTACCTGAGCAGGAGACTGGGCTTGCATCACTCCACACTCCCTGGGCAGTGCAAACCTTGCTGTGGGGACCATTGAGAGAGAAGCCTTCATTGCAGGTGAATATACACTGGGTGTTGTATGGAAGCTCATGCTGGGTGAAGCATTCACTGGGTTGGACTGTACCATGGTCCAGGCTTGGTAAGGTGGGACACACAACAGCTGCAGTGAAGAATGATTGGATCTTGTTCATTATATTTACACCCCTTCTGATGCAATAAGACAATGTCTACTTTTGAAGCAAGAAATTTTTTCTGAATTCGATATAACACAGGCCATACCTATTTCCCAAATTTTCTGAACTTACACACTTCAGGCAAAACTTAAGCAAATTCGACTACGAATGGAATTTGCCTCAGCTGAAACGTATTCCACACTTGTGAGCTTGCTGCATGAATATTTAATCTGATGTCGCAATTTTGTATTTGTGACCTGTTCTGCTACAATGAGTCGCAGAACCAGTATTGAGTTACAGGCCTTTTAACATGTCGACTGACAGGCATATCACAGGGCATTTCCATTTGCCAAGCATTGTACGCATGCACACATATTTCATGATACTTTTCAGGTGTCTATTTGAGCATGAGAATTTTACGCATGTGTCCTCCTAAATGCCAGCAGCAAACAACTTTTGTGTTCTCAGTGATGCCAGTGTATTCAATTTACAATACAAAAGCCTTTCATTTCCTAAAAGTATACTCATGGCAGAAGACGGTACACCTGTTACTACGAGCACTTGTTGTGGGCAGTCAACATGTTAAAGAGTTTCTAACTATGAAATTCCCAGGAACTATCAACATTTTCACCCACAACAATACCCATTTTTATCAAATTACCAAACTGATACATCAAAACAAATGGGCTTTGTTTGCTATTTTTAAATACCAGTTGAAATGAATTACTGGAAATAATGGCCTTGAGACTTATTTTCACAGAGCGGGTCACATTTATGTTTACTTTTGCCATCAAGAAAAAACTGGCCTTTTTTCAAACCACCTTTTCAAGAGCGGAGGGAGGGGTATATAGTATGCCTTTAAAACTTCCACTATCTCATGCATTAGTCTGTGCAAGAATACTTTCTATTGTGCGCAGTCAATGGAAACAGCTCACATTTTACTTTGAGCACGTGACAATGGAAAGAATGTTATATTCAGGTGCTATAAAACTGGTGTCAGAGTGTTCACAAGACATTGGCAAAAAAATGTATGAGAATACCAGCCATTTTTAATTAATTGGGACTTTGGTTCAGAAAGTACACATGGGTAGGAAACTCTCCCGTTTTCAGGGTTAAGGCATTTACTCTTGACCATACACAATACAAGCAACCCTAAAACATTTTTTGCAAGTGAACAAGAAGCTATAATATCTCTAGAATGTTTTGAGCCCACTACCAGGGCGTTAATAATGCAGGGCAGACAACTGATGTGAGACCGGATCCTACAAAAAAGGGTCCTAAAGCCATTGTTTCAGTCATTTTAGTTGTAATTATTTAACACTGCACCCTTTGATATATCACTCAGCAGTGAGTCCATCACAAGTCCCTGCAAGTCCCTGCCAAACCATCCTGTCTAAAGCCAAATCGCACGATATTCAAAGGAACTCCCACCAAGGCATATCTTTCTCATTGTTCACCCTGTTTTGATTGTTCCTGTTCGGGTGATGGAAATTGTGCCAATGAAGGCCTTGTGAAAGGACTTGCAATGGACTCAACTACAACGTAACACTCTCTCAGTTTGGCATGCTGATGAATATGGATATTATTTGTGAAAAATGATGAGGGTTCCTACCATAGAGCTACTTATAACTACTAGATCACTAACTCACAGTGCAAAGTGAAGCCTCCTAGCAGGTGCATGCATGTTTGTGCTCAAACCTATGGAACATTTGAAATTTTGTGCAGCTTTTGTATGGCTATTTGCATATCTGTTTTCTAAATGATGCGTCTACAAAGCTGATATGCCAAAAACTACATGCACATTATTAAAAATAAATGTTTTGGTTCACTTCACTTAAAGAACACAAATGCAATTAGTGAAAAATGCACTGAATGTTATTTGCACATTGCATTAACAATTGGTTCCACCTTATTCCACCATGTTCTCCAAACACACGCATGAATTCCAAATTTCAGCACCCAGGAGGCATCAAACTCTGCAGAGAGAATGATGCATAATACAGCTCTTTGGTTCCTACCAATTAGAAATGTGCAAGAATCTTTCCAAGGCTTTCAACGCCAAAGTGGCATCAGCAAAGCTTATTTTGTGAAGCTAAAAAGAAACCACTTTGAGGCCAATGCTGCATGATGCATATGATACAAATACATTATATTGTTGGTTCTTATCAAACAAAACATATGTCATTGGAAATTAATGACTGTAGGGTTTCCATTGAAGGTTGACATAAAGTAAAAAAAATGACAAGACTGAGTTCATTAATTCTTGCCTCACCTTCACACACCGGCGGCACTCGTGTCCAATTCCCATCAGCCAGACATGTTCCATTAGTCCAACTCAGGGATGTACGGTTGTCACGGTAACCAGGATTGCACACAAACATGCAGGATGACTGGTACTCTACCTCCTGGTCACTGCAGCCTGAAATGTAACCGTTGGGGATGGCTGGTACCTGGCACATGTTGGCTGTGAGGGAACAATGACAGGAAAATTAGTTTGGATTTCGCACGAAGGGATTGTTCATGATTCTATGCAGTGCATTCATGTAACCTCTGTGAATCATTCATCAAAACAATCTGTATAATTTCATTTTTTCCTTGGTTATTATTTTTGAATGGACACAACATTAAAGGGCTAACCTCTGTAATGAAACTATTCCACTAAATATTCATCACGTTAACATGATTCTTCCAATACCACTACCATTAGCCACTTCATGCTGGGGCATTTTTCAATGTTGATGATGCTGGGCCGGCATGACTATCATTTTTTCCGTTTTCAAAATCCTTCCAAAATTCATCATTTCATTTAACGGTCGTTTATAGCCGCACC